CGTCCTATTAGCGTGCCCTAGTTTAACAACCTCAGAACGGAAACATGGGAAAACGGGGAAGGAAGGGGGAAAGGTTGGATCTCAAGGAGATCTTGACGACGCCTAAGCTAGCTAAGAAGGCTGCAAGATTTATGATCTTAACTAGACTCCTCGGGCAATATGGAGCAATTACGGAGGACAAAATACGATAAGGCATGCACTGAGTTCTTTCGGTTTATAGGACAAACAGGAGTCAGGGGGACCCACTGGAGGACCTTGGCTACCATCTAGACTGTATTATATGATGTATATTAGCTATAGATACCCATCGTCTGCATAGCTGCGGAAAGCGGCTGGGCCGGACGTTAAATTGAATAGAAGAAGAAGACTACTTCTGTGCTGGGACTACTTCTGTCCTGGGACTACTTCTGTCCTGGGACTACTTCTGTGCTGGGGCTACTTCAAGTTACAAAAAGTAAAGGTCCACAAAGTACTATGTGAGGCAGATGTGAAGAGCGGGAGACTACAAGAGCAGACGAGACCAAGGAGTAGAGAGAGAAAGGAGGGTGTGTACAGTACATAGCCAAAGAAACTTGAGGAACTCCAGCAAAGGCTGTGTGAGCTGTGGTGGGTCCCCGAAGCAAGGAAAAATATATAAACCGCAGCCGGAAGCACTATGCTGAACTTTGGTATTCGTCCTCTTGGCACAGGGGCCTCCTTGGATATTTCCAACGAGCGTCAGTGACCGCAAGGTGCCCGCTTTTTCCGCCCCGCGATCGAAAGCATACCTCAAAACCATAGGGTTCATTTACTGTTAAATGCGGTCATACTGATCATTCAAAATATATGAGAATTTTTACAGTACTGTACAGTACACTCTAGGAATTTCTCTAAATCCACTCCGGATCCATATTTGAGGCCAATTCAGAAAGGGCAATTTTGTATTAATTACCCTGTGCCATTAACTTCTATTTACCATGTTATGCTACTAACTCTAAAGATGAAGAAACAGAATTATTTCTAATCTATCTGGAGGCCCTAAAATTTACAAAGGCTGGGTAGGGGAGTCCGAGCGAACCGTAGAATGTTTTCCTCGCAGCTGATGGCCCCGCCCATACTGGTCAAACTTATTGTCTGGTCCCATCTCAGCTCTCACAGGGCCTTCAGACACACGACTGCGATCCCGGGAAAGCTGCTGAAGAGTTTCGTCTGACATTTGCCCCAGCCACTGTGCTGACCTAGATCCAGTTGTGATACGCTTCGCAGAGATGAGCTCTCCCAGTGTTGAGACAATGACTTGATGAGCATCATCAGCCGAGAGAACATCTTCGAATTCGTTGAAGCGCACCTGCTTTGTTTGCTCGGATGCTTCAGCACAAATGGCTAGACACTGTCTGAGGCTATTTCTTTCTTCCTGGAATTGCTCCCACTCGGCTGTTTCCTCCATCTTGGCTGCCTGCGACATCGCTTCCAGTCTGGCCTTTAGTCTTTCGGCGTGTTTGTGCTCAAGGGCGTCCGCGCAGATTCGGAGGCACTGTTGAGTACTATTCCTTTCCTCTTGTATTCGGCTCCACTGCATGCTATCTTCGTGCTCCATCTTGGTTCCCTTTGGAATGAACGAGTCAAGTTTGTTTTCAACGTCCTGGAGATGATCTTCAAGATCAGAGGTTGTGTTTTTTATCATATCTCTATACTCGTTGAGGACGGTAGCAGTAACAGTTGTTCTGCGGCTATAAGCCATATCGTCTGCTTGATTGGGAAGATACGCCTTAGAGAGACATACAAAGTCGCATCCCCGAGTGCAATATTAACTGTAGATTTGTATCCTGCCAGCATCAATCTAAATCGGCC